ACAGTATGTGCTGTGAATCCAGCACTAAGGACTATCCTTAGTAAAGATTGCTGTGGAACTAGTAAAGGCTAAGGATTGCTGTTTTCCTGGGAAAGGCAGGCTTATTTGGGTAAAGGCAATTTTACCACATTGATTCACAGTGCTGGCAGATGGAGCTATGTTAATATTGTGCACTGAAAATAGACAAAGCTAAACATAACCCACATAACCCTCTCCTCTCTTCTTGTGGGCATGTGCCTTATTTTGTCAGCACTTGGAAATTTCCTGTGGCTGCTTTTCTGTGGAATGTTACTGACATAATGTTATCAATGGAAACACAAAATTAAGAATGTAGTTTGTTACTCCTGGTTAAAGTGTGGGTTTCTATTTTTGCAATTATGATGAACATCTGTTTGAAATATTAGTCCTGATATCCAACTTCCATTTCTTTAGTTCATCTCATTAGTACACAGTTTTCTCAAAAGTTTTATGGACTGAGATCTAAATGATATAGAGGTTAGAACTGTAATATTTGTACTGACAGTAGAGGTAAAATACAATTGATATGCATATCATTCATCAAGTAGTAAAGAGAACATAAATGCTTAGCTTTCTGAAAATTTCTTTTAATTCCAATTTTAAGTTGAATCTCTGTTTCTTGTAATAACTGTGGATGATGCAGAATGTTTGTGGCTCAGCATGCCTTGGCTACATGATGACCCCAGACAAGTGATTGTATTTGGAAAAGGAGGTTTTTACCTCCTCCATTCAGATGTGTGGTATATGTGAATGATAGTCTTTGCATCCCACCTTTGAATTCTTGAAAGTCCCCAGGGTCTCTGAGTGTCACTCTCTAGTTATCTACAGATAGAGCTGAAGGTGCATTTTCCTAGGAGTAACCTGAATAAAGGGCAGGATCTTCCTATTTTAAGAATGGGTTCCATTGAGTTTAGCTCTGTGTTACGGTGCATTGCTTTTACTACTTCACTGGTAATCTGTACAAAAAAGCCCTTAGCATCTTTTAAACAGTGACTGCTAAACTGTTTCCTCTAGTTTACTGAGAGTGTGATAGTTATCAGATTACCATATGGCTATATATAGATAGATCTGTAGGGCCTTCCAAATAGATCCTTTAATGTTTTCTCAGAGAGGCTTGTTAACAGACAAACAAAGCAATCTGTGGGAAATTATGAAATCTGCCTCCTTAATTTGCAAGTTTTCTAATATCTGCACAGTATCTCTAGCAATTAATTTCTTGTCTGAGTTATAGTATGATATTCAGAAGTAACCTATGGGATAAGGAATAAGTATATCCAAATTGTGAGAAGTTCACAAAGTTTGTATCATTGGTTTAGAACTTAGTAGTAATTGATGTGTAGCTACAGTATTCAGAGTTTCATTACATGAAGTTTTGGTCAATCAGAGAGTTTGTAGCCCATGGACTGAACAAAATAACAGCCATTAGGGTTATTTATCAAGTGATACTATCATATCTTGAACAAGTGGAAATTTAGAATTCATTTTAATATATATATTAGCTATCATGAATTTTCAGTAATAGAAATCTTCTTAAAATGGAACTTCAATAAAATGCTTAGAAATAGATGATCTTTAACGTGTTTCTATCATGCTAAATTTGTTTCAAATTTTTCTGTAATGTGTTTGTACTTACTAGTACGTATTACGTATGCTTACTACTATGTTATAGTAGACAATATGAGAGAGAACATACAAATTACTTTTGCTTGTATGAATGATTCCACAATATATTTTACCATTCCTTTTCAAAGATAAGAGGTGTGTTTTATACTAGAACTTGTTTAAAATAAAAATGCAATTTTCTGTCAAGAACAAGCATATGGATATTGCTTACATACTCAGCTGTTTTAAGTGAAAGCAGATTTCTTCCACGAAGCATATGTATTTATTAGATATAAATACTATTATATTAATACAAATATAGTATGTATACCCATACATATATATCACCCATAGAGCCTGAATCCCTGACTTAACAGAAGGTATAAGAGCCAGTGTGCTCAATTGAGAGACTGCTAAGGGGAAGACTGTAGATTTGTGACTTCTTGTAACACAGGGCAGATAACTCTTCATTTGCTTTTGGGGGTAAATGGGGTGAAAAATTTGCCTGATGAGGCATGAGAGAGAGAAGCCCTCTTGTGAGGAGTCCCATTTGCTGATCTGACCTGATATGTAGGCATGTGTGCAGTTTGCCAGGTGCTCAGATGCAGGATGTTTTGAAGAACCTCCTGAGGCTTATTCATCCCTCACACTATTATCCTTCTCATTCATCTGAGCATCAGTGGCAGTTTCTGAGGACACGTTGACTGTATCAAGGCTAGCCAGAAGAGGAAGAGCATGTGGGATTAAATGGTGTCTCTTGAATCCTAACATAGATTATGTGGGTCAACAACTGGTCTTGTTGCAAAGAATTTTTACTTTTAGATCCTTAAAGTAGGAATGGCTGTGGAAGGAAAGTAAAACTCACAGTCAAGTAAGGAAGTGATGGGCAGAGATGGACAGCAACGAGTGCAGGGCTGTTCCAAGAGACACTTCTATAATAATAAAACAAGATGAAAGCAGGGCTGCCTCAAGCATGCCATATGTGCATAATTTGATGTGGACTGGGAAACAAGCAGGAAGGACTTTAGCTCTGCATGCAGTCACAGAACTGTAGTTCTGTGACTAATTGTCAGAATTAGTGGGCTGATAACAAAATAGTCATATTGGAAAAAAAACAACAGAGCCTCTTGATACATATGAAATACTGTGTTTGTCCAGCACCTTTTCATGTACTTAGAAGTCCACTTTTGCAAAGTACAAGAAAAGAAATGACGGCTTCCATAATTAAAAGAACAACAAAAATGACAAAAGAAAGTCAGTTGCTCACCTCTAAAACCATGATGACACAGTATATTCATTTAGTTATTTCTCTGAGGTAATTTAGTGTGTGTAAATGGTCAATTATACAATACACAATCCATTAAAATATGAAAGCGCAATGCAAATGACAGTTATTTTGTGGTACAGACTATTGCAAAATGGCTTCATGATTTAAAACCATTGTTAAAGGTTTTAGGTGAGCAAATGGCACCCTTCTGAATAATTGTGGAAGAGAAAGATCTTACTAAGAAACTATGGGGAAAAATATTCAAATTATGTGTTGTACATCTAGAATCTTAACATAGCAGTTGCAGTTGTCCTCTATGGTTTATACTATTTCCTCTTAGTTCAGTGAAAGGAGCAACAAGACGAAACTATTTTTAATGCGCTCTTTTAATGTGCGTTATTTGTTCTCTCCATTCTTCTGTTTTACTGTGCTTCTCTATTGTCCTTGCATTTGATATAGCATGAAGCATTAAATAAAACTGCTGTGAAAGCACTTTCAATTTGAAGAATAGGGATCTTTAAAAGGTCAGAGACTTACCAGTAGAATAGTAGCACTCACATGTATAAGCTTCTGGTCTACTTGTGTCAGGAAGGCTTAGTTTTTGTTGTCTTTTTTTTTTTTTTTTTTTTTTTTTTTCTAAATATTTATATTTAACATTAAAAATTATATAATATTAAAAAAAAAAAAAAAAAAAGTAACAAATATTAATTCCAAGTGAAACTCCAGCCCTCTACTTGTAAATCTAACATGATCTTCTGTTGTATAGGACTAGCATAAGTGTCTGTAATTAGTGTTTCCTCTCTTCTGGCCTGCATACATGTTTCTACCCTGTAGTAACCAGAGGTGCCAGTAAGGATGATTAATGACCAGGTCATTGTAACAGAGATCTGGAAACACATCTGAATATGATAGGAGGTTCTCTCAGACCTCACTTCCTATACATAGGAAACTCTACATAGTGTTCTGTAAAACAGATCTGTCAGTGTTTATTTTAGAACATGCATTCTATAATATATATATACCAGCATGCACACATTTTTAATATATATATATACATATAAATATATATATACGTATTTGGACATACAGATCTATACAATAAAATTAGGTCCTATATTAGAATATCAGATGCTTTTCTGTGATTTTCTAGTCTTTCTAGTCGGTAAATTATTTTAAATGTATCATAAAATTATTTCAAATGCTTTCAAATTTTTACTGCTGTAGTGCAAGTGCAGTTTAAATTGTAGGAGAATCCATAGATTTCTTAATGAAAATCCTACCTGCCTTCACTGTCCTCAGAAAAGTGAATGATCTACTCTCCCACTTTCTAGAATATTCACCGATTTTTGAGTTCAGCATTTTGACTTCTTGAGCAACATTTGTATCTGTCATGTTAAATGAATACAAATCTATAATGATCTACATTTGCACAGTTCCAGTGTAAACAGGCTGTGTCAGCTGTGTTTGCAATACTTTAAAGTCTTCATTATAAAGTCATCTGGCAATCTGGCAACACCATCTATCTCCAGGCATGCTTTATGGAAGCTATGAAACCAAACTCCTCCTGACCCCCCTCGCCCCCCTTTTTTTTTTGTTTTTGTTTTTACTTTCTGATTTCAACTAGCATCTCAAACTCAAGGAAGTGAATTTGGAAAATGCTTATGAGTGTGCTGCTATGTTGCTAAAAACAATATTGTTTATATGCATGTGAGCATTTATACACATCCCCAAACTCTCTTATACATATGCATTCACACAATGTCGAGTACCTTTATGCAGTCTGATTGATCTCCATTCCAATTGTTACTACTGAGTAAAAGAAAAGCTGAATATAATTTATAAACAATTATAAAGTATTTTGCCTAGCTCATGCAAATGCTTGAAAGGAGGCTGTTCAAAACTGCATGACGGTTCTGGACTGTCTATAACACTGAAAGTCCCCAGACGTTGTGTCCAGTGGCATTTTAAGGACTGTACTTACTGTTTGATTTAATTTAGACAAAATTGTTTAATAAGTAAATGTTTAAATATTAGTTTGCTTAAGTCATGTTTTGAGAATCAGTTGTTCATAGACTGAACGTTTCAGTGACATTCAGAATCTTTTCTCTTGCAGCCATTTCGTAGAGTGACGTTTTCTGTTGTGAGTCAGCCTCAGGACCCACATCAAGGGTCTTTGCAGAGTTGCTATGACAGCGGTCTGGAGGAGTCAGAAACACCAAGCAGTAAGAGTTCATCAGGGCCAAGACTGGGTGCCCTTCCACTCCCAGAGGACAACTACGAAAGGACTACGCCGGATGGCAGTGTTGGTGAGGCAGAGCATATGGAAAATGGTAGGGGCAAACACAACATTCACACACATAATCGCACTAGCAAGTGATTCTAAGTAGACTTTTGAAAGGTCAGTCCAATAAATAAATAAATATATTAAATAGTTAAAATTGTAATTATTTTAAAGATTGTTAAAATACAGATATACAAAATAATGGGACATAAGACTACTAATAAACCCAGAATCTTCTTCTCTTTATACGATTTAAAAACTATTCTGCAGAAGCAGTTAAAACATTTAAAAAGTACCCATAGAGATCTGGGGAAATGGTAATTGAATTAAATTCCTTATTTTCCATTTTAAATAAAAGAACTATATATCCTCTTCTCCTATTCTTTTTTTGTTTGTTTGTTTGTTTTTACTGTTGTTCAAAAACTACTTAGGAAACTTCCCAGAATGTAGAGCATCAGTAAAAATACAGTAGAATTTTAAAACTCCACTCAAGAGAATTGTCTTTCCCCCAAAATATTGTATAGCTTGTTTCCAAAACAACACTGAGTGAATGTCAAGTCCATTCTTAGTATTTAGTTAAGAAAGATATTCCTTCCCTTTTCTTCACACTTTATTTTATACAATACTTTTAGAACATCTAATTTAAATTCAGCATCTATTTTTGTAGAAGGGGAAAATGTTGAAACCTTATATACAGTCTATTAAATTTTCATCAATTACAAAATAAGTGTAATTTAATTCACAACTTCTGTTTTTCTTTTTATCTAAAAAAATCTAGACTTGAAAAAAATCTTTTGAATTTGAAATATATAAACACTAATTCATTTACTGCATTTAACTTATTGGCTGTAATCTAAAATTTGGTGAAGTCAGGCACTGACTTCATTGTGTTTCAATTTGCCCATAAACAATAACATAAATTATTGTATGTCAAAATATACAGATTTTTTACTAGCCAATGAAATAATGGGTTTGCTAATCCAGTTGGAATTGTTGGATATATGGAATAGGGGTGGTGTATTCACTGGTATAAATTGGATGAATGAATTTGGCTAAACAAATTTCAGTTTTTAAGAAGCTAGAGCACTGGTTAATTGTTATTTGCTTTTTCTCTTTACTGAGATAGACATATTGACCCAATGAAAGTATTTTGCTCTATGTGGTAAGGTATTACCAAGTCTAGTAAAAATGACTGAATAATGTCTACAACATTATTATATTTTATTATAATACGAATTCCCCCAATAAATGAGTAAGTAATAAAAAAGTAAGATGGTATTATCCAGTGAAACATAAGATATGTTAGGTTATATATAAGTGTGTGTGTACACATTCTGTTTGGTTGTTTGTATGAATATATATCTTTATGTTTCCTTTTTATAGTTGAGTGATGGGGAAGAAAGTCATTATTACTAGAAAAATATCAGAATAAAGACTAATAGATGTTACATCTAATTTAGGATTATTATCTTATTGTTTGGTTCATAGTTAGTTTTTGCAGTTAATAACTAAATAACTTTCTCATTCCCGTGGACATAAAACAGTGTAGTTCATTGGTGGACATTAAATTCAGAGTTCAGAAAGCATGGAGTGCGTTTGAACCAAAAAACTGGATAGCCATAATTGAACATAATTTTTAATGTACTCTGTAGTCAATGAAAATAACCACATTTACTGAATTGTAGTTGAAAATGGAATTGCTTGAGTGATGTGAAAAACTAAAACAAACCAGTTTATTTAATTTTTTTTAGTTGATGTTGAAACTGACATTGCATTCTAATAGTTGAAGTATTTAAAATAATACTTTAATTTTTTGAAAGATTATCATTATTTAGCTAAGATGAATTTGATTCAGTTTTAAAAATAATATGGTATAGATAAAAAACATGTAAACATGTATAATATTAAATGAATAAGCAGTTGAAAACAAAAGTATCATGACGAAAATTGTATGGCAGGACTTGCATATAATAGTCAAGGATTCCTTCTACTTGAATTGAGACCTTTGAAAGGTTGTTGACAGTTTGCTGAAGGTTATGCTCTATGGACTTCTAGATTTCTCTGTCACATTTTAAAAACTAGATTTCCACAGTGGCTTGTAATCTGCCTCTAGAAATTTGTTACCAATAATCCATAAATAATGATGGAACAGGATAAAATTAATGTACTTTTGTTACTTCATATATGTAGTATCTGACATTGGAGTGAGAGTTTTCTGTGACTGGATTTTTAAGTCCACTTGTATTTTAACTATTTGAAGCAAAATTATATTGGTCAAATTCTGATAATATAATCTTCAACATTAATGGATAATTCTGACAGAAATAGAATTGGAATTGAAATCTATCTAGTGCTTATTCATCACATTTAATTGAAATCTAGGTAAGATACAGTGTTTAGCTTGATTAAGTTTTAATCAGAATTTATACTGGATTTTCCTTCAGATTATCCATGGAAAAGGCACTTTGAAAGCTATCTTAGTTTTTAATTGTTATTACTTCAGATATTTATAATTTAATTTCAGTTGGGATGAAAAACAATATAATTAGAACTATTGTTTTGTGTTTCATTTTAAAATTTGAAAAGATAATTTTCAGCACAGTATAACCCTCCTGATATGTTTGATACATTTTTGTACAAGATAAGTTAACAAAAAACCCCATAGTTTTTACAGTTAAGACAAATGTAAGAAGGTTGAGTTCACTACAAAAGTAAATATGAAATTCAATTTTCTGTTTGCTGTTAAGAGGCTTCTTTTTACTTGCTCAGGCAGGATAAAATGCTGTAATGAAACAGCCAGCAGAGGGGTTTTTTAGGAATACTCTGTATATTGCCTACCAGCCAACATGACTGTCAGATGTATATTGAAGTTTTGTTCTGATGATTAGCTACGGTGTCAGATGCAGGAGGAAAACAAAAAAAACAAAACAAAACAAAACCAAAAAAAAAAAAACCAAAAAAAAAAAAAAACCAAAAAAAAAAAAAAACAGAAGAAAAAAAATGTTAGCAGATTGACTGTGAAAATTCAGAATGCAAAGATCTCGTTAATTAGTAAAATCTGCAGAACTATAAGTAACTTCTGAGTTAATTTATCCCCTGCCCTTGGAGCTTTCCTTACAAGGAATTCTGCTCATATGTGTAGCCTTTTTCTCTTATTATGCTTTTAAGATGGCACTATCTTAATGTGAATTTAACAATAATTTTCTCAAGGACATTCTTATTACATTCATATTTGTGTTTCAAGAGAAAATACATTACCATGGTAAATGAATTTGTCTTTTACTCATAGTGTTCTTTTTATAACAGTGCCTAATGTCCCATATCTCGAAGGAAGAAAAAAACTCCAACACACTAACAAAAAACCCATGGGAGATCTATAGCAGACACTTATCCATGATTCTAACAGTTAATAGTTAGCATGTGCTTTAAAATGTGACTTTCTGAAAGATAACAATAAAAAAGAATTTAAATTATTACAAGCCATAACCCCTCTTCATGGCCTGAGTAATATTTTTCAACAGGGAGTTCCTCTGATCGCTATCAAAATTGTTTTTATTTTGCTTTTTATACTTCTTTCTCATATTGAGCAGTTTTAGGAACTGTTCGTTTTTATCATTATAAGAAAGTAGATGGAAAGTAGGTTTCATTTTACTCTTAAAATACTGTGAATGTTTATGTTTTCATATCATATAACTTTTATCTGAAATATATATTCCTAGACTTTTCAGTTTTTGACTGTCACATGCATGTAAATTTTTTCTTTCCATTAGCTTCTGGTTTTTGTTCTAATGTAGGGGTATCTGGAGATGAATATATACCATTTGTGGAATGAATAATACAGGCTTTTATTATTAGTTTCTGTTATAAATCACACATTATGTCTAAGCAAACATTTTCATTCTTCTGTTTCATGTCCATCTATATAGTTTTGCCAAATCTTTCTCATTTTCTTGCAGCCTTCTTAGAAATATTTGATTATACTTCACTTTTTCAGATTTCTGTATTCTTATTATTTATTTACACGTATAGTGGACTAATCAGTTTCATCCTCTGTTCCATTTAGCTGGAGTATCTATAGTGTTGAAACTGTAGCAGATTTGACTCATGTGCTCTTCCCTGGAGATTTATTTCCATGCAATCGTAATTAGACTGTTATCTAAGCCTGATATCTCCATCCATGCTACCTCAGGTATTTCTTCACAAACATACCTTCAGTCTGCAGTATAACATTTTTTGCAAGTCTGTATTTCAGTATCAGATATGTAAAGATGCTAGAACAGCAGTCATCTCTGTGAAAGAAAGAAAATAAAGGAATGGTTTACAGCTGATACTTTAAAAGGGAAAATGGAGTCAAGAAAGATTAAGGGATATGTCTGAAATCACACAGGAAATAAGGTGCTGAGTTTGAAGAAGAGCTCAGAATTTCAGTGATTCAGTTACTTGACTCCCACTAAGTCAGTGGATAAACTACGCTTCAGCTGACACATGAAGAACTAAAAGGCAAGAAAGAGAAGTGCATTATCTAGGTCTTACAGTTTGATAATATTCTATCTTCACAGTGATGATTTGAGATTTAGACTATAAGCACTAAAGTTCCAGTGTGTAGATAAGTAGTTCATGGTACGTGAGATAATGACTTGAAAATGTTGAAGAAGTTTTCATGATTAATAAATGTACTTTATTTGTAACAGCCATGTCTCACTTTTACTTGAAAGGTAGCATATTTATTCTCTGGATGAAATTGGTAACAGTGTGAAAGAAATAACCTACTAGTTTACAGAATCCATTTCACTTTAGGGTTTTACGGTGATAATAAAAATACAGGTTAATATTCTTGAAGAATTAAATGTCCTTGTTGACATTAATTGACTAGTCTGACAAAATTTTTTTGGAGTCCTGCTCCCTTTTCCAGTGTTCTGTTCCCTTGAAAAGTTGAACATGAATAATTGTTCTTTAAAACTGTTTTAAAACATTAATGTGAGTAGCACTTTTGAGGGGTTGAGTCAGTAAGGGTTTTCAATGCAGTAATTACATGCTAATCATTATTTT